GTAAACAGGGACTTTACTCAACATATCAATAGTGTGTATAATTTAAATGCTCATAACAAGATTCATATAACGATATAAATCTATCAAACAATTTCAATCATGCTTTTCACCCCAAAACGAGAAATTGGTAAAAAAGGGCCGTGAAACTCACCTTTCGATATATAACTTTGTAAGGTAAAGCAATGCGATCCGAATATCGTGCTAAATCAACGGTTCCCTATCAATAGGAATAACCAAAATCATCACTTATTGATTCATCTCTACCTATGGGGTTTAATAAAACCTAAATCCATATTTGTCCACTTTTGTTCCAAAATAATCCATAGTCCAAATATACATAATGTCCATATGCTCATTAAAGAGTTAATTTATACCGGAAATGATGYWRTAATCCAATAGAAGATCAATTTTACAAAATTTATCCAAATCCAGAATTTCAGATTCTGGACAGAAACTTAAGTTACAAAAGATGATCCAATAAAGAGACTTCAAGAATGAGATAAATTCCCATCTTTTTATATGGTTTATAGTACTGAGTTATAGCCATCGTGACCAAATTTCATGAAGATTGGGTAAGAGATGATGCTTTAAATAATTCATGCAATGCAACTTATCACAACTGAAATGGCAGATTGCACCATGTTAGTAAAATACTCATAAAAAGAGTTCTACTAGGTGTTCTGCAAAGATTCAAGTTGGATTGGAAACCTAACACTTATACGAAACTTTTAAACTAAAAATCACTCATTTTGGATGAGTTGAGAGGAAAAATATGACACCTTAAAGTCACATGTACACATCTGCCATCAATTAACAGATTGCACACCTAACTTGTAAAAATCAGTTCATGCCTCAAAACATCGTATTTTTGAGTGAGACTGGATTCAAATGAACCCTAACTCATAAAAGAAAGTTTTAGAAGAAGAATCATACATTAAGGACAAATGAGTAGAAAGATATTAACATACAAAGTAAAGGTTACCTACTGGTGGTTTCACATTTTACACACTTACAGAGTTTAAGGTGTTTGGAGATCAAAACTCCATAATTTTATGTGATTCCACTTGCATATAAAAKAAAATCCATAAAGTTAACTCTCAAAAGAAGATTCATCCTTTTTCATTGAGTTATGAGAGAGATATGGTYGATRTAACACACATATACGAATCTGTCAAAATCGGACAGATTGCGTGTTCATCTTAATTTAGGAAAATGAAACCTCAAATCACCACCATATTGAGGGAAATCGGTGGCATTTGAAAG